TATGAGATTTCATATGTGAGTCATTTGTTTAAGGGTATATATGAGTAATTTTCATAATCAGGGATATATCAGTTTTAAATGACAAAACCCTTTTCTCTTGTATAATTCATAAGAAACAATTTTGAAAAAAATTAAACTAGAAAGAAGATGTATGAATACTTTAATAGCCAATAAGTTATGTAAATATTAAATTTAATATAAATAATATTATATTTTGATAGTTGATTAGCACATAAGTTATTTATATATAAAAGTATAAAAATAATATGATATTTCGTTTAAATTTCAATTAAGGAATTTTTTATATAACTAATACATGCATAATATAAAAGAATTTATTATTTATTTTATGCAGAATAAAAAGTAAAAAAAGTAATACATGAAAAAATTGATTATAAATAATAAAAAATAATTTTACAAATTAATTTTACTAATACCTAAATAACTTTAATCCACTATTTAACGAACCCTAAATGCTTAGTATTTTCATGTCGTAATATGAAAATTATTTTTGTAAAAATTGTATAAATAGAAAAATACTCCAAAGTTCACAAACACTTGAATAGTTATTCTAGAAAAGTTTATTCGCCAAATATCATGTCTCGTACTAAATATTCTATGAATATTTTATTTTGTGATGACTATTTAATTAAGGGTTTTCAATTGTGGGAATCTAGAAAAATATTATATTTGATAAACATTAGGAAGAATCATATGTATTTGGTCATAATCAGTAAAAATGCAGATAAAAGAAAAAGAGGAATAAAGGGAAAAAAAGTTGCCTAAGAATTAGGTCATGTGGCTGGTTCCTAGTGAACTTGGTAAGAGAATATTTTTTTTTATTTCTCATTAGATATATTTATTTTTTACATTGATTAAATCCACACCTTATAGAGTATATTTATGGTGATATTTTTAATAAGTTTTTTATATATTTTACGACTCAAACATAAAAATTTTGATTAAGAATGAAACAGTTTCATTACTACAATATTTGTTATCTATATTGAGGTTTGAAATTTACGCATTAAAAATATTCAAATCAAGGGAGAATCTCTTTTAACAAAGACAATTTTATAATTAAGACTTGAACTCTAGACTCATAATTAAGAATAAAAGTCTTTTGGTTAACAATAAAACATCTTTTTGAGTATTTATCACTCCAATCAATCATGAGATTTCATTCCCTCAAATTTTTAAAAGGGTCTTATCTTAAATACACATGATGAAAAGTGTTTTTCAACTATAAGAAAATTCGCCTTTATTATTTTTTAAGTATGCTCTGATAAAATTATATTTTAGTATGATAACTTGCAAATCACATATGATCAAATATAAATTATACTAATTTAACGTCGTACAAGACAATCAATCGTGCAAATGCTATCAAATTCATAATCAAACATTTAAGAGATTCCCTGCTCAATCTACTCGAACACATCCATGAAGTGACAATGATAGAAAGTTAATCATTTATTTTTCATTATTTTAAGGAGGTCGGAATTCACCAATTCCATCTATCATCTTATTCCTTTTTTTTTCTTAGTGGAAATCATCATTCACTAACCAAAATAAATCCACCAATTCCTCAATTATTATTAGTTTGTTCATAAAGTTGATTAATCATCCTTTAATTATTTTTCCAAGAGTACATCCAAATGCACTTAAACTTATTTCTTAAACGCGTTAGATGAAATGCATTGGATGATTACTCAACAACTCTTTAATTTACTTTTTGTTTCTTTTAGAGGAAATTAATGAAACGAGAGTATCATTAGATACACTATTCTATGTGATGCACATTTTTTCTGTTATTTAATTACTCATTATAGCTATAATTTGTTATAATTATCACTTCAGGCTAACATTATACATTAATCACGTGGACGGACTTTGAGATTGTATAATTAGTAATGTTTGTATATGTATGATTCGCCAGGATATACAAATAAATATGTATAATATACAAATTTTTAGCCTGTAAACATATACAATTAAGTTCTCTCCCACTCTCTGCCCTCTCTCGCTCGCTTCTCTCCTCCCTCTCTCAATCTCGCTCGTCATTTATATAAATGTATATGTATAACATACAGTTATATATAATTATATACATATACAATTCACCTCTCTCCCACTCTCTTCCCTCTCTTGCTATAAATTGAATTATGAAACTATAGCTATAGAGAATAAATAATTATATAACTATATGTGAAAGTTTCTTATTTATAAATCAAATATCAACTTTGAATTTCTAAAATTAAAGAATATTGGACATCTAACAACAAACTTTTTTATTCTAAAAAAAAGATAATTTCGTCAAGGGTCCACTCGTTTTTCTCAAAATAAAAATTAATCATATTCATCACTCCTCCCATTGATGTATTTGATGTTATTCCTTTTTATCCCTAATTCTTATTTAGTTTTAAATTAACACATTTATTAAGAAAATAACATTGACATATTTGACATATTGAGTTTATCATTTTATTCTTATTAATTATGAAATTGATAAATTAAAAATTTAAGATTTTCAAGATTGAGGTTGAGGGTATAATAGGTAAAAGAAATTGTTCTTTCTTGATTTGTTAATATACAAATAATTATGAATAACTAAAAAAAAATGAATAAGTAATTAGGGACAAAGTAAATATTATCTAAGTAGATCGAAGCATTTATTCTTTCTACGCAATATTTTTTTCTTTTAAAAAATATTTTTACTTGCTATAATTGACCGATACATATATGAGTTGATAAAAAAAAATGCAGTTCATCTTTAAACCAGATTTTCTCATTTAATTATTAATATGTACTATTTGCACTTTTTGATAAATATAATTATTTTCAAATCTTATCTAATCTGATTGATCACATACCAATATTCAACGAACGCAAATAACACTTCAAGCTAATTGCTTGGTAACACACAGAGAATATTCAAAATTTCAACACGCTTGTTAGTCTTGTTTTGCCTTGCCAATTAATAGATAAACTCTCTTGTAAAAAGAAATATTTTTTTAATTTTCAAATTTCTCATTTGAACTCTTCCATTATTGCCATTCATACAGTATCTAAAACCCAACAAAGGCATCTACGGCACAAGAAATTTCAACATTATAAATTTTTTTGGACATAATGTTTTTTCGATATTATACATAAACGTATTTTTTAATTTTTAACTTTATTTGGTATTTATATCATTTAATTTTAAGTATTAACAAACAAAATACTTAAGTTTATATAAAATTAAATAATTAAATGCATTTCATTCAACGTACATGGTATCGTACGAAACAACGTATGTCCATATACAGAGACAGATGACAGAATCACCCCTCTAGGTGGGATACTTGTGCGTTCGTTAGTTTCAGAAAATCATGTATATATATGTATATCTACTTTGAAAAACCGATAAACATTAAGATATAATCAACAGTGCAACCATAAAAAGCATATGATTGTCACTATGCTATTGCAAGCTAGAGGATTTACACGCAAGTTTTCGATTTGAATCCAGCTAGAATAATGTTTTATGTGTATTATGTACTTGTACAATTTTATGTAAATTTAATTTTTTATTTATAAACACTCAAATTTAGATCACAAATGTTTGCGAAAAGTTAAATTAAATAATATATGTATATATTATAATCCATTATCTTGACCCATATTAAACGGACGAGGTTAGAAATGTCAGAGTCCAGAGAGAGGTGCCTAGATAAAAGTGATGGTAAAATAAATGACATTTTTAAGGTCATTGCTGACCAAAAAAACCAAAGTAACATTTGCAGAAGACCCATAATATATTATATGAAAGTCAGCTAAAACGCGTAACGCGCTGTAGGGTCAAAAATATAAATAGTTTAAAGTTATTATTATAAAGAAATATAAAATTTAATTTTAATAAGTAGTTTTTAATTGGTGAATATGTGTTGGCTGAATTAAACACTTGGCGAAATTACTCAGCTCTATACAGTGGGCGGCCCACACTTTGTCATATTGCCTCACACGTGATTCTCATCACCACTTGCATCTCCTACTCTTATTTACCTCACATTTCGATTACGTATTAAGGCTCGATTAAATTTATATTTACATACGATATAATATATATCAAAAATTTTAATAAGGGATTTAAGAAATTAAAGATAGAGTATACGTAAATTTTATTATTATCTTATGAATACTTTTTAAAGAGTCTTGACTTAAATACATTGAATTCAAGTATAATAAAAAAAATTAATATAATTTGTGGTGCATAAGTGAGGGTGCTTCACCCTTGACCAGATGTCTCGAGTTCGAGCTCTGGATATGAAGCACCACCCTTGAATAGGCCTTCAGAGTGCAATTCAAATTTAATCAAAGCTTTAATGTAGATCGAAATACCCAGTGAAAAGCCAAAAAAAAGTATAATAAGATAAAACAATTACAAAAAAACATAATAATTAATAAGAAAAGTAATATAAAGTCAGCATATGATAAGTATTACAATGGTACCACTATACAGCGACAACACTCTACTCTTCTACGGTTCGTCCTAATATACAACCTTCACTTTTTTCTATCTAGATTCATGTCATATCTTTGTAATTACCCTTTCCAAAATTTAAAATAAAGGAGATTAGTATAATATACCAAAAATCATAAAGAAAACAAATATTATAGAATTAAATACGAAAAAAAGTTAAAATTTGATTTAGTATTTGAATTTATTCTAATTGAACACATGAGTTAACTCGGATAAGTATTCATATTATGTTAACTTCTCTTTTTTGATTATATATATTAATCTTAATTAAAACATGTTTAAAATTTTACGATTTATTTTTAGATAAAAATACGAATATCGTGATTTATACACAGCAAAGTAGCGCGTGAGTGGCCCAGGAACATTCAGCGATTGTTGAAATTAGTGGTCGGCGAAACCTTCCGTTAAAAATATTCCGTCAGTATTTCCGTCAAATTTAACCCTATTAATACTTGCATTCAAAATTTACTAAACTAAAGGGTCAGCTCAACCCTCTTCAACATAAAAACAAAGCAATTTCTCATTTTCCTTCTCAATTATCCTTTCTATATCTCAAAAATTCGTACTTAAAAAAATAATAGAATTTGCTAATTTTGAAGAATTTTCGAGTTTGCGTTGCATCTTCAGTAAATTTTTACCAGGTATTGTTCATTCTCAATTTCAATTTTCAAGTGTTTGTGTTCTTCGTTATGAGTTTGGTGAAAGTTCAAATAGCTAATCGATTTAGTTAACTGATTAGGTTTTGCTGTATCGAGACTGGATTTGACATGGATATTATAGTTAAGAGGCGAAAGTTAGAATTTAAAATTTATAAATTCAGTATTTTAGTTTGCCTTTTTAAAAGTTAGTATGCTCTAAACTAAAATAATTTTTACATATTTAATGATTTTTTTAATAAAATACTATTTAAACTAAAGCTATTGAGTTCTGTCGAACACACGTAGGTTCACTTCCACACTGGTAGCTTAATAAGGTTTCCCTGCTACAAAGGTTTGTTTTTTAGTTTATTATATTTCAATTCATAAAATGAAAATTTAGTTACTCACTCGAAACTGATATTTTATAAGATTTATTAAACTAGTGGACATAATGCGTGTGTAGCTATACAAATTTGTTATTAGAGGAAATGGAAGTGTCATTTATTTTATAAGTGTCGTAAGAAAATAGTGTCATTCTTTTTTAAACGAAGAAATTATTAGTGTTGACATAAGTTTTAGAGATTTTTTTTCATTGATTGTTGTTACAACTGTGGTGTCCAAAGGCAGTTTACGCTCATCTCGACTATCATATTATACTGTTAAGTTTAAATGTTCTTTTGGGAGGAGAGCAGAGATGGGAGTTTTGGTAGGGTAGAAAGTGTGTTGAGGGATATAGATGTCTCACTACTCATTGGATTACACTCGGTATGTTGTTGTTGAATGTATCTGTTGTGTTTCGAAAATCCTAACGGTTGTGGTTGTGAAGTTGTGATTTCAATCTAATTGTGCATTTCATTATTGTTAGTGTTACCTGTTGTTGTTAATATCACCAAGATTGATTTATCTTATTTTGCCTCATAAAATCATGTTTGTGCTCCTTGTGCTTGAACTTGTATTTTCTGCTTCTCTACATCATTAGAAAACTCTGTTTTTCGATCAGCGAGGGCTGGCAAAACTGATCTATGCTTGTTCTTGTATCTTTTGCAGGTTGATATTTTAACAGATACAAGCTGTTAAGTGCGACTTGTGCTTATAGCAGGTAATGATAGCCATATAGTATGGAATCACACAATCTGTATGGATATGGTGCGACTGATGTGAATTTGCCATATTCTTACTCTATGACTACTACCCCTTCGATACCTAATAGGCTGTTGGGAATATTGAAATTTGATTCGGGAAATTCTCCGAATTCTCCATTTGCAAACTATAATGATCCTGGTACCCCTACCACATTAAGTGATAGCCTGGAGCAACACAGCTCTACTGAAAATATTTCAGGGACTAGTCCTTGCAGTAATTCCTCGCGGGATTATAATCATTATTTCTGTAGGCCTAGTCCCTCTCCAGATATCCACCATAACAATCTTCTGGTTTATTCTGGTGATAATTCTTTACTCCAGTATGCAAATCACAGTCACAACATGAAACATGCGCTGCTTCAATTAGAGACCGCTTTAATGGGGCCAGAAGAAGTCACAACATCCAGCCCCTCTGCAGGGGAAATTCAGCAGCCACAAGCATCAGGTGGTCAGAGGTCCGGTATGTGGCACCAAGATGGCCAGGTTCCATATCGAATTGAAACACAGCCATCACATGTTTCTGTTTTTGGCATATCAGGGGATATAATTCAAAGTGAGGAGCATCACAAACCGATGGTGGATTATCCGTCGCAGGGGATTCCTTTTGGCAACCTAAAGGAGCTGCTTATCGCGTGTGCCAGAGCTCTTGCTGAGAACAACTTGGATGATTTTGAAAAATTGATTGCCAAGGCAAGAAGTGCTGTGTCCATTACTGGTGATCCAATCCAGCGTCTCGGTGCTTACATCGTAGAAGGGCTAGTAGCAAGAAAAGAAGCATCCGGAACCAACATATACAGGGCTCTCAGATGTAAGGAACCAGCAGGCTGGGACTTGCTTTCCTACATGCATATCTTATATGAGATATGCCCTTATCTAAAGTTCGGTTACATGGCTGCAAATGGTGCAATAGCAGATGCGTGTAGAAATGAAAATCGCATTCACATTATAGACTTCCAAATTGCACAAGGGACTCAATGGCTGACTCTTCTTCAAGCTCTTGCGGCCAGGCCAAGCGGTGCACCTTATGTACGTATTACAGGTATTGATGATCCAGTTTCAAAATACGCCCGAGGAGATGGATTGGCCGTAGTGGGAAAAAAGCTCGCAGCAATTTCTGAGAAATTCAACATTCCTGTTGAGTTTCATGCTGTACCAGTTTTTGCTCCTGAAGTCACCAGGGACATGCTTGATGTGAGGCCTGGTGAGGCTCTGGCAGTAAACTTCCCTTTGACACTTCACCACACACCTGATGAGAGCGTTGACGTGACTAATCCAAGGGATGAGCTTCTAAGGATGGTGAAGTCATTTTCTCCAAAGGTGGTCACGTTGGTGGAACAAGAATCAAACACAAACACCGCCCCCTTTTTCCCTCGATTTCAAGAAGCTCTAGACTACTATTCTGCAATGTTCGAGTCCATAGATGTGACATTAGAAAGGGACAGGAAGGAAAGAATCAACGTGGAGCAGCATTGTTTGGCAAGGGATATAGTTAACGTCATAGCATGTGAGGGCATGGAAAGAGTGGAACGCCACGAGCTATTAGGGAAATGGAAATTGAGGTTCACAATGGCAGGGTTCCACCAGTATCCTCTGAGCTCTTACGTGAATTCAGTGATAAAGAGCCTCATGAGGTGCTACTCAGAACATTATACACTGGTGGAGAAAGATGGAGCTATGTTGTTGGGATGGAAAAAGAGGAACCTAATCTCTGCATCAGCTTGGCACTGAAGAAAATTACGAAAGGACAGCCTGGTGGACTAAGCTCTCGGGGTCTAGCGAAGATCTAGTTTAGCAAATAACTAAGTATGTAAGTTCAGTAAGTGGAGAAAGCAGCAGATGAAATAGCCTTTCTTTCATGTTATGTAGTTTCACTCTTCCATAGATAATTTCATGTATCAAAATGTTTGTCCCTTTAATTTGGAATTTTTCTTGCATGATCTTCAAGGAAATGTATTTTGTAAACATTAGACTTTCTAAGTGTGAGCAACAACAAAATAAGAGTTATAACATCCAAACAAATTTCTCATCAACAAAACACGAGAGATATTGATATATTAGGACTAAGATATATGAGGGTGCATATCTTAGACTACAGTAATTAGTAACGCATTTCAAAGTCGTACAAATGACGCATTTTAAAGCCGTACAAATGTCCAAAGTAGACAATGAGGTGGGCTCTTTCCTAAAGAGGGGTGGGGGGTGGGGGGGAGGGGATGTGAGACACCCTAGGCAAGTTCTCACATGTTATAAAAGTTGTGTAGGCCTTTAGCTCAAAATGGGCTATTACAAAGAGGATATCACATTTCCTTTTTAGCATTATCTTTGTGAACTATAGAAACTAGAAACAAATAAAAGGCCCAAATGGCATGCCAGCTCTATTTTGTGTGTGATATAAAAAAGCACAATAAATATACATAAATCAAATTCATTACCAATTAATCCCATTATATAGTATTAATAAAGAGTGTGTTTAGATATATTTTTTTCCATCTAATCAAGGCATCTATTAATTCATTAAGGACGTGAATCATTACCTCCAACAAAATATATAACATTATTTTTCTTATAAGAATATTCAGTCAGCAAATTATATAATTTAGGCTATTTCCATGTTGATAAAAAGTCAAAAACACGTTTTTTGATATGTCAGCAAAATAAACTTAATAGACACAATTTAAGCATGTTGAAATTTCTAATATGAAAACTTTAGTTTAAACGATAAAATAATTAATTTATCGAACAAACTTAAGAGTACCAAAATAATATAAAGTCAATTTGTATGACAAAATGCTTTCGAAGACCAAATCCTTTGTAGGGTCCAATTATGGCAGTTCCACCAAATTTTATAGCTACGATACAGAAGTAATTAAGATGCATATCTTCATGTTTGTTAAAAATACTACTCCTAATTAGTAAGAAAAATAATTTCATAATGATTTTTCTGATTTGTCACATTCTGTTTTAATCCTTACAAAGTAAATTAATTAATGTTTAATGTAAATTAATCACACAATTCAAATAAATGACTTAAATCAATGGCTAGATTCATACTTGGATATCAAATCGAAACCAAATTTAATTAATGAGTCTAATTAAGCTCTCCTAAGGGAATCAAGATACTAAAAAATTAATCAAAATGGTCATTCAAATAATTAATTAAATTAAAAATAATTCAACAAATACATATATAGTTTACATACGTCAACTAGAAAACTAAACAACAAATTTGTCCTGCTATTTACGTGAAAGATCACAAAATATATTAACTCATGTAAAAGGAGGGTTAAATTTGTCCTGCTATTTACGTGAAAGATCACAAAATATATTAACTCATGTAAAAGGAGGGTCAAAGTGGTGACAACTTCCTGAGCGGTTGTTAAAATAACCATATTTATTTTTAAATAAAAAATAATTCTATGACAAATTATTAATTTCATCTCTAAATTATTAACAATCTTAAAAATATTCATTATATTAAATAAATAAACTTAAATATACTCTTGATTCACATATTCAAACTCTTGTAGGAGCATTTTGCTCTAAATAAAAAACTTCAAAAAAATTATTTACTAAACTTCCTAGAAATTCAGTATTTATTTCATTCACATTATAAAATCAAAGATTTATTTAAATACAAGCAATTAAATAAAAAAAATATTTTTAACGGCAATAAACCCTTCAGGAATGAAACTCTAATAATTCACACCAAATTAAAATCGTTTTCAAATACTTCGCTCTGAAACATAATAAACATATTCTTTTCCCACAAAAATATTCTTAATTGACAGGTAATTATATCCTAAACATTTCCATAATTCTAATTTTTTTTGAGCAAAAGACAAAAATCACACTTTTAAGGTAAAATTATCATTTGTCGCTTATAAGTTTATAATGACAAAAATTTCTCAAAAGATACAATAATATAAGCGTTGATATACTAATCTGATGCGCGAAATACATTAATTATTTAGTAAGATACATTATATCTTATACATGATGCACTAATTTAATATTTATTTTATACCTGATATATTAGTTTGATGCTCGAAATACATTAATTTAATATATAAAAATAAGAAATTCTGAAAATTTATAAAACTAATAGGATATAATAATAATAAAGAGAATTTAAAGACGAAATTTCTGTCACTTATTTATTTTTATTTTTTTAAAAAACACCCTATAAGAACAAGGCTAACTTCTCTTTTCCTTCTCACCAACAAACCTGCAACTCACAAAAACACATGTATTAGCCGCCACTCCCATAAAAAAAAAAAACAAAAAAAATGTCAAAATCCTCTTCAGTAGATCAAAATCTACTCGGTGACCGAAATGACCTTCGGTCACCGCTTATTCCGTCGATTGGTGTCGACGGATATTTAAAACAAAAAAAAGTAACAATGGATCAAATGTTGGAAAAATACTGCGGCGATTTTGGTTGGTGGCAATTTAGTCATTTTGTATTAACGAGCTTTGCGTGGGCTCTAGAAGGAATACACACTATGGTTATGATTTTCGCCGATCGTGAACCGGCTTGGCGGTGTTTGCCGAACCGGTTGTGCGATTCAACCGCGAAAAGTGTGTGCGGGCTTGAACCGGGTTCATGGGAATGGACCGGTGGAGCTGCAAGTTCTACGGTATCAGAGTTCGGTTTAATTTGTGGACAGAAATATAAAGTTGGACTTGTCCAATCCTTATTTTTCGCTGCCTGCATGATTGGTACGTCCGTTATATTCACGGTTAATTTATTTGTTTGATTTTAATTTTTATTCGAAAAAAACATCACGAGTGAGGCGTAGACACATGCTATATCACATTTAATTAATTATTTACCACACTAAAATTCTTTGGATTATTTTGTCGTTTCTTTTATCAGTTTGTACAAAGTAGACGAAGATGTGTTATTTGGAATATTTTATTTTAGGTAAAAGAATAAAAAAAGTACAATGATTGAATCCAAATCTTAGTTTGCTAAGGAATTGTTAATAATTCATATTCTAAGTCTTGTCATACTCTCAATTAAATTAAATGACACAAATGACAATGTATGTCAGAGAGACGTAATTAATTGAAGATAAGGACAATAATAATAATATATGGGTTTCCTACTTCTTTTTAATCGAGTTCATCGTATAAAATTATTATATTAAAGTTAAATTTATCTTCTTGCAAAAAAGGAAAAAAAGTCAGGATAAACTTGACAAGTGAATATTCTTTTAGGTTAGTATTAGAATATCCTTTTCTTTTTTTAATTTCATACTAATTACACACGCACCCCATTTTTGGATACTTAAGAATATGCTTGCTCGATCCGCCGTATCTTCCTTCTTTCTATGTGTGAGGTAGATAGTTGTTACTATCGAGTTTTAACTTAATCTAAAAAGTTATTTCATTCGATAAGTATTGCTCTAAATTAAATAATTCAGCATTTATAATATTATATATTCTTAAAATTTTCTCTAGAACGTGAATAATATAAGATGAGCATTTAATATTTAATGAATTACAAATAGAAGTGGTAAATTATGAATTGAGACTGGATGAATTATCTTAAGGTGTATATAAGGATTAAATTTTGTAACAAAAAATTGAACTATTTTAAATATTAAAATAAGTTAAAAAGAAATATGAAATAGAGTATATAAAAAAAAGATAAAACTCTAGAGCCAGGAGGAGGTGTTAGGTGTATCGAGATTTACATGAATTATTACTATTTATTGTTACTCAAAATAAAATATACGTATGGAGCAGAGAAAGCTTATTAATGTAATGTCATGTCATGTTACCTGTAACAGGAATTGTCTAGAAAAATAAATAATTAGATATCACTATAGTGATTTAATATTGTAATAAATACTGTAGTGATCCAGAGAGCAAATCCTTATCAAAATTATCATTGATGATGATGACAAGCAGTTTCTTTTGACTTGTCCATATATTTATTTTATTTTATTCAATTATTTAGTATGACACCTTGTTTATTTTCACATGCATCACTGAGACGTGTAAGATTAACATCTTACCACCAAAAGAATGTTGTATGATGTTGCACCACCAAATATTGGTCCAAAAATATTTGTACATTGGATTAATACGATTTATGCTATTACAAAAATGACTTTACAAAAATAAATATAAACATTAGTAAGGGTACTTAAACTTTTCATCGATATTAATTAAGTGTTATTAGAATTGATAATTGTATTAGTTTTTGATAGTTAATATGATTGAATTTTGTGAACTATTACATAAGAGCAGGGGCTAACAAAAATGACTATTAATAATTGCTGTTAAGTATGTATTTTTAGCGGCAGTTGTCACTTTTTGTATATATCCTTAAGGCCTTTAGCGACATTGGTTGTAATGACACTTAACTAATGTCGATAAAAATTTTAACACTTTTTATTAGTGTTAATACTTAATGTCACTAAAATTTTTAACACTCTTTATTAGTGTTAATACTTAATGCCACTAAAAGTTGCTTTTATCATAGTGTTACCCCAACTAGTAGCGGCCGCGAATTTCGTTGTCATAAAGAAAAAATCGACTGGATTTTGCTAAAACACATTGGAATTAATGATTTTCAGGTGCTGGAGTATTTGGACATTTATCAGATTCCAAATTGGGAAGAAAAGGCTCTTTAACTATAGTTTGCATTATGAATGCAATCTTTGGTTGTTTAACTGCAACTTCTTGGGATTATTGGACTTATACCTTATTCCGTTTTCTCTCCGGTTTCAGCACCGGCGGGACTGGCCTTTGCGCGTTCGTTCTTGCTACTGAACCCGTTGGCCAGTCCTGGCGTGGTGTAGCTGGAATGTCCACTTTTTATTTCTTCTCTATTGGAATTGCCGCCTTATCCGCCATTGCATATTTCTTCCAAACGTGGCGATCACTCTACATAGCTTCGTCAATTCCATCAGTTATATTTGTCATCTTACTACTCCCTTTCATTCACGAGTCACCTCGTTGGTGTCTCGTGAGGGGGAAAATTGACGAAGCTATGAAGATCATGAACAGAATTGCCAAATCTAACGGTAAACATCTCCCTGATGACGTTGTTCTTGCTCTAGATAGTGAAGTGAATGATGATGTTCCTGATTCTCAATCCGTATCAAAAGAAGCCCTAAACGGATCCTTATTAGATGTACTCAGGCTTCCTTTGACACGATTTCGGTTATTCTTAGCTGTGCTGATTAACTTCCTTTGCTCGGTTGTTTACTACGGGTTGAGCCTGAATGCTGTTAACCTCGGGACCAACCTCTACCTCAACGTGGCTCTTAACGCGGTCGCTGAAATGCCTGCCTATTTTTTAACAGCATTAGTGTTGGACAAGCTTGGTAGAAAGCCATTAGCGATAGGAACAATGTGGTTCAGCGGTATATTCTGTTTAGCTGGAAGTTTGGCAAAGGGTGATGATGGAACGTGGAAGTTGGTTCGGATGGTGTGTGGCGTGCTAGGTATATTTGGCATGGCTGGGACTTACAATCTACTATTCGTGTATTCGATGGAGTTGTTTCCCACCGTGGTAAGAAATGCTGCGTTGGGATGTGCAACGCAGGCGTCACAAATGGGGGCCATTCTGGCCCCCTTTGTAGTTGTTTTAGGGGGTGGAATACCATTTGCTGTGTTTGCATTTTGTGGAATTGCAGGAGGCTTATTGGTAATTTACTTGCCAGAGACTTTAAACAGGCCATTATATGATACAATGGCTGGAATGGAAGAAGCTGAAGCAAAGAAACCAAGCATTTTATCTTAATTTGCTAGTTTTTTGAGAACTTTTTTTGTATTGTATTTTTAGTTGTTGAATGTAATTTTGGATTGGCTTGTAGTGCTAAGAGTTGATCTTATATTAGGTTGTCATAAGGCATATGCCTAGTTATAACAAGGTAAGCATGAAATTGTGCTCTATGGTGAGTGGTGGAGAAGGATAGAGGATGATCAGATAAATATCTTTTCAAAAAAATTATATAATATATTATAAAAAGTAACATTCACCATGTTATATTCTTTATAATGAACTATCATTGTGTGATAAGCCAAAAAAAAAAAGCAATATTATTTCGTTTGATATATCCAAGACATTAGTAACCAAACTCAATCATTAAGGGATGATTTATTAAAGCTTCATACAGATGAATCAGCTCAATGTAATTTGGATCAATAATGATAATGTCAAACAAAAAAAGCACCCAAACAAATGTATGTTGTCAGTTATTATTTTTTGATTAATATCGAATACCATCTGTAGAAAAAATAATTTTTTTATAAAAAATAAAGGAATTATTAAAAGAAATTTGACATATTTGAAATACTATATAATTTTAAATATGAATGATTATATTATCAATTGAAAACTAGAAGAAATTAATTGTATAAAAGTTATTCAAATCTAAGGTTCCATTTAATTTTTGCTTTAAGCCATTAAAATGCTTGAGCCTATGATCACGGATGCGACAGAGGTGGTAGCCAATGGCGGGTGATCCTGCATTTTTTTAAAAAAAAATTAGTGTTTACAACATTACTTCACCATCAATCCGAACACTAGAACAAATGTTCATAACTTTTCTTTTTTTATTCAAGTAATCCAAAGCTACCAACCCAGGTTTAATTTGCTTCTCCTTCTTGCAATCCATCTATCGTATCGTAAAGTGGCTTGTTTAGCGTCTCAGGTAAATACATTACCAAAATTCCTCCAATAATACCACATACCCCAAATACAGCAAACGGCACACCATCCCCTAAAACAACTACAATTGGAGCCAAAATTGCCCCAAAATTTATGGCTTGCTTCGAGCATCCTAGTGCTGCATTTCTCACTACAGTTGGAAACAATTCCATCCCATACACAAGCAACAAATTAAAAGTAGCAGAAATTCCAAATATCCCAAGCAATCCGCACACCATAGGAATTAATTTCCACGTCTCATCGATGATCTTCAAAGTACTCCCCACTAAGCAGAAAATCGCACTGAACCACATCGTCCGTATGGCTAACGGTTTTCTACCAATCCTGTCGAGTACTAACGATGATAATAAATAGGCAGGCATTTCAGAAACCGAATTAAGTGCAACGTTGAGGTATAAATTAGTTCCGAGATTAACCGCGTTTAAACTCAACCCGTAATACACAATGGAACAAAAGAAGTTAGTAGCCACAGCGACCAACAACCGAATCCGCGTGACAGGAGATCTTAATACATCTAAAATTGATCTGTTTATGCCTTTTTTCGTATTGAATCGACGATTATTAGGGGTATCGTCCTTTGATACTACTTCACTATCTAGTGCGAGTACGATACCATTAGGAATGCTCTGTTTACCATTAGAAACCGCGATTTTCTGCATAATTTTCATAGCTTCGTCTACTTTTCCTCTAACGAGGTACCATCTAGGTGACTCGTGGAGGAAAGGTAATACGAAGATAACGAAAATAAGGGAAGGGATTGATGAAGCAATGTAGAGAGATCGCCACGGTTGGATGAAATAGGCAATGGCGGATACAAGGACTATTCCAGTAGAGTATAGATATAAAGTGGACATTCCAGCTACGCCACGCCATGATTGGCCAACCGGTTCAGTGGCGAGAACGAAAGCACAAAGGCCGGTTCCGCCGTTGCTGAAACCGGAGAGAAATCGAAATAGGACGTAGGTTGAGTAATCAGAAGAGAATGCAGTTAGAATACTAAAAATTGCATTCAAAATGCAAACTATAGTTAAAGAGCCTTTTCTCCCTAATTTTGTATCTGATAAATGTCCAAATACTCCCGCACCTGTGAAAAAAAAATCAATTTTTAAAAAATGTGTTACCATATATACTATTATTATCTATATTTTAAAAATATTATGTATTTGACTACTAATTAAAAGATTTCTATCATATATTGAAAAAGCTATACTTAGATACATATATTTTTACTATTGAATATATTAAAAAAGAGAGAGCCGAGTGAGATGAGGAGATTGTTATGTATTCAAAATATATGCTAATCACACTAGATAAATGCAAATATTTGTACGTAGATATAATATACATATGAGAGTGAATGAATCAACTTGAATGCGACGAATCAAGAACAAATTACACCTAATTTTTAACCATATTTATCTGGAGATACATGTATATGGACATATCTGAACGTATCTAGACGCACCAAAATCTAGGGTGTGCATTCAATTTCGGTTTAGTTTTCTACAAATCGATTTATTTTTTTCCGGTTTTTGGTTTTTAAAAAGTGTACCCTATCCAAACCAAAATAAATTTGGTTTGATTTTGTTTTTGTTTTATCTTTTTGGTTTGGTTATTCGGTTATGTCAAAAATTAGAAACATAATATATATACATATATATATATATATATATATATAAATAATCATTCTTTTGGTTTTTATTTTTTTAAATCTGAAATCAATCTAAGTAAATTATAAATTCAAAACCAAACAAAAAAATCAATCCAAGCTAATACTCAGTTCGATTTTTCAATATAATCCAAATAATCCACATCCCTACTTAATCTAGTAAATAATTATCTCCCAAACTCTATCGAAGTAACGATTTTGATTTTTCAATAATAACAACTAAAAAGGGGCTATTTATGAAAAAACGTACCGATCATGCAGCCAGCGAAAAATATAGATTGAACAAGCCCAACCTTATACTTTTCTCCGCATATTAATCCAAATTCAGACATCGTAGAACTTCCCTTTCCACCTGTCCATTCCCACGAGCCGGGTTCAGAAGAACACCGGCTCGTTGCACCAGCGTGGCTCGTCACATAATGCCACGCTGGTTCACGATCCGCAAAGATCATAACCATGGTTAGAATCCCCTCTAGTAACCAAGCCAAGCAGGTTAACACTAGGTGTCTCACCTGCCACAACCCGAACTCCCCGCAATACTTCTCCAACATCTCATCCATTGTTATTTTTTTCGAGTTCGCCTCCTCCTGAGAGGAGGCGAGTGGCGACCTGAGGTCGCCGCCATCGTCGTGTAAGTTGTTGTTTGATGATAACGCCGACGACATTTATTATTTTACCTATTAATGATATTATATTGTACCACAACGATATTTAAAGACTAATTTGCAAATATGATGAGATTGTGCACCTATATTCCTGTAGAAATTTATGACAAACCACCTTCTGTAGCATAATATTTACCATTTTTAACTACTAATGAATTATGAAAAAGAATAAGATAGATATGAGGTATTTAGTAACAAATTCTGTAGAACATGTTAATTATTTAGACTACTTTAGTGAATAATTACATGTAGAATCGAATTCTTATTAATAAGCTAAGTAAGACGGATTATTTATTTTTGATGTCATAATGGTGAATTATCTAAAACTATTTTAAAAAAAGTTCTACTTATGTATGTGTATTTTTGATATTTTTGAAGAGCCTGAGTAACATATCGGTGAAAGTTTATTGATAGATGAGTATATATTGGTGAAAGTTTATTGATAGATGAGTATATATTTATTATTATTTAAATTAAATTTCCTTGCAAATTTTTAGTCATCTATTGTCTGTATAAGTAATATTGGAGTTATCTGGAAAAAGAGCATTTGAAAGTTAAAAGTGTTTTTTTGTTAATATAAAAATATTGTATTTGGAATTTGGAATTGAAATAACGAATCAATTATGTTAACAAAAACATTTGCTTAAATAATCACCATATATCTTTTAAAATTTTAGAAACCAACCAAATTTATGTCCAAATGGCCGTCTTTTATTTTATTTTATTGACTTTTAATAGCTTCTTAAGTTTAATTAGCTAATACTCCTATTATGTTTAATTATTAGTATCACATCACAATAATTATTGTAGTACATTTAATTTCTTCTTTATATGTTAACTTTTTGGCGAAAGATTGACTCTTAGATAAACTTTTATTTCTTATATTTATAACTAGGTAGGGGCTTCGCACCATCATTAAATTAAATTATTAAATAAAATATTTAATATTTTAAACTTTTTCTGTGGCTAATTATTGTATATATAGAGTTGGAGGGAAAAAAAAAGAAGACGAATAAGTTATTAGCTACGGAAAGGTGCGACGTGCCACGTCACTTTGTCTATATTTATTTACAGATATGTTATAATTACAAAAAAGTAAAAAAGAGGAGAAAAAATAAGTAAATTTATTAAGAGTAGAAATTAGAAAAGTGTAAGTTATGAATAGTTACTCTTTTGTAAATTGGTATTCCAAAAGTCTCTGGTGTAAATGTTCCCACTAATAAAATATTTATTTATAATAAATTGCATAATTTACTTTTATAATAAATAATTAATTAATAAGATGTGTGTATAGCTTTCATTAATTCTTGTACCGCAATTATATAGACGGTTTAAAATTAAATATGATACTTAATATATTGTCAAATTGATGAAAGATTTATGAAATGACTACATGGAAATGAAAATGTACACATCATTATTATTATTATTATATTCTTAAAATCAATGACAATATCTTTGATAGCAATATCTTGCAATTAATATTTCATACATATAGAAATAAATTGAGGTACAGAATTAAAAGTGAACAGAAGGTAATTTCTAATAGATATTTTGAAAACTTTGAAGCCCCTCTCAATGTACACTAAAATAAAAGGATAACTAGTTTGATTCAACATATGTTAATAAAGAAAAAGAATCAAGATGAAACAAGCTTGAATTTTTAACTAGGAAAACAAAATAATAACTATAAATTATTTTAGTTATTTGATGAACATCGATATGTGAAATGTTTTACATTAGAATAAACAATAATTATAAGTAGCACAACATGGATGAAATTGGTTCTTCATTTCATTTTGTTTGGACCCAAAATGAGACAAAAGTTGGTCCAATTTAGGACCAAATTTGTTATTGATTCCATCCTTTCTCCTCACCCACATGGATGGTTAGCGCGGAGCGGGTTGAGCTTTAAATATAAAATTTATAATTTATTATATTTGCTTTGTATAATTTTTTTTTATTTTTAATGCGCCCTAAACTATCATGTATAAACTTGATTTGCATTTTTTAATATTCTTTTTTTTTAATTAAGTTTGATACTAGAATAAAATTCATAAAATTAATTTTTTTATTAAGTTATATTAATTTAATAGGATAGTGACTCAAAAATATATTTAATTATCTTTAATAGCTTTAAAAAAAAATTCTTAATACATAATGCTTTATCCCTCTTATAACATGTAAAAATTTAAAATCAAATTTAAACTCACATAAAACTATATATATTTGTATCCTACCCCGCTCTACATTAGTTTTCTAAAAAATCATTTCACCCAACCGCATAGCCTTTAACTTGCCCCACCTCCGTAGCCTTAAACCAATCCAGCACCGCATCTGTCCCACTCTATTTTCATCCCTACTAGAAATTAATTTTATACGTAATAAAAGCTAAATGTGAACCTTAGAGATATCGATTTGATTAGGCAAATTTTACATCATAATGTTTAAACACTGATTTCCTTCACCATGAGACGAAATTACCACTTGATTAGGATCTTTATCAAATTAAATAAAAATTATTTCTTTCTTTTGCATGTGTATGATTATATTCCCCGTATGAATCTATTGTGACTCTTTTTTCATTTCGTTTGAATAAAACTAGTACATCTGTTTTTGAGTCTGTCGAATTAAATGGAGGTTTTAACCAAATTAAGCCATTATATAAAGTTATTTATTAAAATAATATGTTTTTTCTAAAATTTCACAAAACTAGTATAAACGTATTTCACGGTAACGTTTTAGGATATATTTTATATTTGAAAAGTTGATGGCGTCAGATTGATATATGTTACTCACAGTAACGTTTTACTCCTAAAACGTTACTCATATTAACGTTTTAGGAGTAAAACGTTACTGAAAATAACGTTTTAGGAGTAAAACGTTACTTACAGTAACGTATATCAACCTAATGCTGTTAGTTTTTAAAAAATT